GTTGTGATGAATGTAATACGAAACGTCAAATTATCATAATGATAATTAAAAGCGTGACATAAAAGCATGCAAATAATCATGCTATAAAAGCAAACAAAAACCAATACTTTAAGAATATGTGAAAATAAAGAAATCCTTACTAGAGGATGTTTATTTAGATTTAAATTAAAAGAAAGTTAAATAGAAAGAAAAAATAAAAGCAAAAGAAGCAACGAATGAGTCTTTAGAAGAAAATTAGAAATTTATTTTAGAGAGAAAATTAGGGTTTAGAGTCTCATTTTACTCTTAAACGTGATTTTTTTATAAATTTTAAATTTAATGTCACGCCCGAAAATTCTAGAGTTTTATTAAGTATTAATTTAGTTAATTTTTATGGGCAAATTTGTTAAATTATAAATATTTCAGGATAATTCTCAAATTTTCAAAAAGTTCAGGGACTCAGGCTTGTATTTTTCCCTTTTTTATTATGCAAAAAAGAATATAAAAATTGAATGAATAGTGTGGTCTGAGGGTTTCGAACCTAGACCAAAAAGAATGGAGAGTCATGCTCTAGCCACTAGGCTAGAGCACTGTTTAGGTAATAAAATAATGAAAATAATTTTTAAACAATATATGTTTGGGATTTTAAATCCCTAAAAATCAAATCCAATCAAACCAAGAACCCCCAAAAATTTTCCAAGTCATTCACCATCACCGTCGAAGCCTCGATTCATCACCGTCTGGTTAACCGTGGTTGTCACTACCCTCGTCGAAGTGATTGTCGTCGATCGATGACCAAAGCCCAAGTGCAACCGTAGCGTGAATCGACGTTTAAATCGATGTGAATCGATGTTTAAATCAACATTGAAAACCCTTCTGTCGCCTCTGTTAATTGCAAAATCTGACAGTCAATGTCGTCTGTTTGCCTCACCGTCGACGTAGTTGGACTCGTCGCCTTCATGCGCTCAAAACCTAACCCAGACCGTAACCCATCATCACCCTGTCACTGATCGACGGTTTGGGTAAGTATTTCGACCTTGTTCTCTTGATTCCGATGGTTTTAGCTGGTTTTTAGTTTTGAAATGTCTTGGTAGTGATGTCTTGGTGCTCTCGGAGTAGTCGGTTGTTACCCCGATCCTGTCACTGCCACCACGCGTCGTCACATGCGCATGGGCTCCTCCTCTAGCCGTAGCTCCTTCTAGAAACAGTTCAGATGGACCAAACCGACCCAACACAGTCTGAACCGGGTCTGTTTGACTCGACCGAGTCAACCCAACTGAGTCAACCTAAACCGGTCTGACTCGTTTACCTTGACTCGAATCATTGACCTAATCGTTGACCTGTCCATTGACCATTAACCTACCTGTTAACTTTAACCAAAAAGTCAAATTTTCTAAAAAGTCATATTTTATGTTTTTCGACATCCTGAGTCCGAATTCGAAGTCTGTTTTGCCAAATTTAAACTCGATAAGTTTTTTCGGCATTTTATCTCCCGATTCAATACGAATTTTCATGTTTAAGTTCTGTTTCTAATGTAATTGGTTTTACCATGTATCCGAGACATTATGGGGCATGAAATTAAAGTTCGAGGATGATCAAATAGAGTTAAATTAGTTAACCGATGTGGCTCAAAAATCGAAGTAATACTTTACTACGATATGCATGCTTTACGGTACATATTAGTATTGCTAAGTGCATGGATGAATATGTTTCGTCTCATCTGTATAGTTAATTAATTCTAAACTCGATTCGAATGCGGTAAAAAGTAAGTAACTGAATAAAAATCTGATGACTCGTATAATAAATTAGAAGATTTATAAGGAACAATTCTAAGTTCCGTAATTAACCAGTGAAGCGTTTAACCTCGTAACCCTTAAAATTTGATTACTCTTGTTAAAAATTGAAAAAAAAATACCTAGATTAAAAATTACAGAATTACCCTTGAGAGGTAAAAATAGCCTGGATTGACCCTGATTTAGAAAGTAGCCTAAGAATTTGTATCTAATCCGGTAAATTACTGATTTAACTGTTAAGTTCCTATTTTGTTCGGAATATTTCTGATAAACAGTTCGTAACCTCTGAGAAGGCACTAGACCCAGAATTTCTGATATATGAGCATACACCCGAAGACTAACTTATCGAAAGTACTCTTATTCTCAAAATTGTTTGAAATGACTAAAATAAATTATAAGTTTGAATTAAATGGAAAGATTGGGCAGAAGAAAATGATTGAAATACCCCTGAAGTGTAAAATGACCCAAAATACCCTAAGCCCTGGAATGACTAAACACCCTTAAACTCTTAAATGAATAAATCTATCTCGAATACCTGAATAATCTAAATACCCTCATGACTTGGATTAAGTAATGCCTTTGGATAACTTTTGAAGATATCAGTGAAGTTTTAAATGTTGTAGCACCCTTGAGGTTAGAGAGTACGACCTAAGTAGGTCGATCATCCCTAATACTATTACATTACGAGAAGTAAATAAATACCCCTTAAATACATGTTCATCTTCTCATGATCCGTCTAAATATGGTTCTGAAGGTGATCAGTTCGATTCTACAGTGCTGTCAGTTTTAAGAAATGAATATTCGTGAAGTTTCTCTATTTACATAATTGATAAGTGTCACATTCTCTAGGAACTGTACAGTGCGATTGGAATTGAAAACTTGTTAAGATGCTTAAAATCTGGAATTTTGTAAATTGTTGCATACCCTTATTAAATTGATTTATCAAATATCTCAAGAACTAAATTACTAAAATACCCTTATAAGCCTGATTAATGGAATCACTTTGGGAATGTCTAAATCTTATATAAATTTTGATGCAATAATTCCTGAATACCTTACTGATATATTAGAATATTATGATCTTGACAAATCACTTCTTGAATGACTGATGAATCTGCTAGCTATCAAACCCCCTTTTTTAAGGAACCTATTTCTAAAATTCAATTAGTTTGCAGAAATTTCGTGTTTCCCCCGCTTGATAATTACTAAGTACCTACAAAAATAATTGGATCCTATAGTGTGTTCCTTATGTGCCATATAATTGTTTTACCTGTTTAAAATGTGACTTTTTGAGATTACAGATTTATTGATGTATTGATTTACTATTTATGAACTATGGCTACATGATATGTGTTCTCTGGTTACCTATTTTCACTAGACAATATAATCATTCCTGATTTATGGATCATGGAATCTACTATTTACTGTATGAACCGATTATTAGGATATTGTCTGGGTATGATTCTGGAGTATATAGGTTCAACTCTGATCAAGCTGGTAATTCCATATGCATGTTCAGTACCGATCAAGCTGGTAATTCTTTATGGACCTAAGGCAACCCTTGGGTGGGCTCTTAGGCACAATGGGCCTAGTGGTAAGACCTTATAGACGCTAAGGTACTCCCTTAGAGTGGCTCCTCTGTTGTGTGCATTGGGTAAGTCCTTATGGGCCTTAGGGCACACACCTCAGGTTGGCACCTACGCTTCGGCTAGGGTAAGACCTTATGGACCCAATGTGCTTCCTTGAATTGGCACCTATGCTAATGAGCCTAGGGTAAGTCCTTACGAATGCAGTTCTAGGGAACTGCATATCGGTGTTCAGTTGGAGGGTATTACTGTGGTTTAAAAATATGTTTTAAACTACTAATGTTTTTAAAGGATCTGTACACATTTCTGTATTTTGTTGGAACACACTATACTCCCCAATTCAATCTTCTAAATTTGTCTCTCTCTGAATACTTCCTTCAGACCTTAAATTACGAACTAATATGAACAATTTAGTCAACTAACTAAATATACTTACTCTATACATGTTATTCTTTTAAAAAAATTGAATAAATATATTTCAAATACGAACTAATTTTTAAAACTCACTTTATATCCGTAACCCTATAACATGTGAATCCTACAATACTCCCATATTTTATGAAGCATGTGAAAAGCAACAATCAAATCCGAAACAGAATCTTCTCAATCTCCAACATTTTTGCAACGAAACACCCCACCGGTCAAACAATGTCTAAAATCGAAGTGTTTTAATTTCCATTCCAATTATTAATATATATGTATCCAAGTGAGGAATTAAGATAAATGAAAGCCTTTTGAAACCTGCCGTCTCACATGCATGGAGATGAGAAAATGCAGAATATTCTGAAAACTGATAATATGAGCAAAGATTATAGGGAGAATATTGTTTGGTTGGAATAAAAACGAAGGGGGCAGACATGTGAATAAGAGGGTACATGTAATGCAGACAATGCTGGATTCTCAAGTCTCAAGTAGCTTAGCATATCAACAGATATCCCCATTTTTTGTAATATATGTATGTATGTATGTATAACTTCTCGTGAGTGGAGAGAAGGCAGGGCAGTGTTTGATCAGAAATGAGTTGTTAATGTGAGAAATTAATTGTCATTTAATGAGAAATAGGGAAACATGTATGGTGATTAAGGAGGAGAAGTAGACAAAGGTGACGGCTAGGCTAGCTGGATATGTAAACAACAATACATACATACATATTAAACATATTTTAATCCCAATCCTATACTATGAGAAAGTGAAATCTAAAAATAGCCCGTGAGGAGTGTTTGGAGGCATTCCCAATATCACAACACATATCCTTATTTTTTGTTGCTTCTTCATCACTTCTTTCAATGCTCCTCCATCACGAGCTCATCATCCCGTCTCTTTTCTGTTTTCCCCAAACACCCTTAAGTTTTCCTCCCATATATAGAAAGTATTTAATTACCGTGAAAAAACATATATATATTTTAACAGAAGCCATTAACCATGCATTTGGAGATGCAATTTAATTGACCAATGCCAAAATAACTAGGATTTATTCCCACTAAATTATTGTGGTGATAGGATTATCACATAAAATTGCAATGACAATATTATTGAGAAATATATTAACCAAAAGGGCAATTTGGGTAAGCCAATACAGTCTATATAGTATATATATTGGGGGTGAGAAGAAACTGGGGCATTCATGTGGAAAAGCAAACAGTAGGATCCTATAGATTTGAGAGCTCATCTTTTTAACACCCTCAGAGCGGAGAGTTGAAAAACACAAACATCTATGGTTTCTAGGGAGCACAAGAGAGCAGAACTGCATGAAAAACTGCAACTTCTTCGTTCCATTACTAACTCTCATGCTGTAAAATTCCCTCCATATTGTTTCTTCTTTGAATTCTGCAGGCGTGTATATATAGCTACTGTTAGTTTTGATAATTCTGTGTTAATTGGATTTCTGGGGCCTATCTGCTAAATAATTATATATGTACACATTTATATTTGGCATTTTTATGCAAACTATAATATGTGTTGCAGATGAACAAAGCATCGATTGTAGTAGATGCATCAAAGTATATCCAAGAGCTCAAACAGAAAGTTGAAAGACTGAATCAAGATATAGCAGCTGCACAATCTTCAAATTATCGAAATCATTTGCCTATGGTACTATTTTTACATCTTTTTTTTCTATTATTTTTTAGCTTTTCTCTTTCGTTGTTGAGTCGTATCCATCTATTGCACTGTTCTTCAATCTTCTTTCCACCCTCTTTTTCAGAATGGTAAAAAGTATTCGTACATGCAGTGACTAATGAATTGGTTTCCATTTTAATCGTTTCTTTTTCACATGTATGTTTTATAGCAGGTTACAGTGGAAACCCTAGAGAAGGGTTTTATGATAAATGTATTTTCAGACAAGAGCTGCCCAGGTCTGCTTGTTTCTGTATTGGAAGCCTTTCAAGAACTGGGTCTTAATGTTCTTGAAGCTAGGGTTTCTTGCAGTGACAGTTTTCGATTACAAGCTGTTGGGGGTGAGGTAATAACCTAAACCCATTTTTTCTATAATATAGTATTAAATACAATTATGATTTTTTGTTATCATAATATATATTACATCAATGATTATATTTTTTTTCTTTGCAGAATGAAGAGCAAAGTGAATGTGTTAATGCACAAGTGGTGAAACAAGCAGTGTTGGAAGCTATTAAGAATTGGAGTGAAAGTAGTGAACAACAAGAGTACTTATAATGGATATTTTTGTTGTTATATATCCATTAACTTTCTTAATTCCACATGCATATATTTCTTTCAAATTATGTAGGGTTCTAATTGGAAATAATGTTTTTTTAATCAGCTATTAATCCCCAATGTAAAAAAAAGTTGAGTATTAAGTGAAGGTTAATTATGTTATATCTATGGCTTGAAGAGCATTAATTATAATCAAAGAACCAGGCTAAGATGAGTAATAATACTTGGGAGGTTTTCCTCACATGGTGCATGTAGTTGCCATGCATGCTTGCATATTTTAAATTGCAACTTGCAAGGCTGTTTATTGGCATTTATGATAAATTATGATACGTTTATGAGATTTTGGTGGCCCTTCGGCGAACCAAAAATTAGACTCTAATCAGAGATTTAAATTAGTTTGTATTTGTGTTTTCGGTCATATTGCATTTATCGCTATTATGGGTATAATTGGTGATATTGCAGTCATTGCAAGTACTGTGGTTGTGAATTTTTAATAACATATGCTATTATGGACATAACAATTGTGGATATCGCAACTACGGACAATGTCGTTACCACTGCATAACAGTCATTGTTGTAGTTACCAACCATTATTTAAGTAATTGTTCCAAATAAAAAGTGAAGGCAACTTCATGATAACAAGTATTGAGAAAAATAAGTCTTAATAACAAGTATTAAAAAAAGTAAATTTTAAGAGTATGCTCATAATAACAAATTTTGAAAAAATTTGGACCTCTAATAAAAAGTACTAAAAGTTTGGACTCATATTAACAAATAAATATTAAAAAATAAATTAATTTTTAAAAGTATGTCCCTAATAAAAAATATTGAAAAATTGGGCCTTTAATAACAATGTTAGAAAAATATTAGCAAAATATTAGACACTTATACAAATATTATAAAAACAAATAAATTTTAAGAGTAAGCCCCTAATAACTACGTTGGTTATCTCCTTCGTCACAACTCGTTCTTCACTCTCTTTCTCCTTCTCCTTCACTACATTCATCATTTGTCTTAGTTTCATATCCAAAAAACAAATCCTCATTTTCGTTTAATTTACACATTTATACACAAAAAAACACAGAAAGGATAAAAAAGAATCTAATATGGATCTTCTTCTTCACCCCCCATAGCTTTTATCTTTGTTACTATCCATTTTTTTCGGCGCCATCATTGCATGTTCATCGTTCGACCGATGAAATCCCAACCTCCATTATTCAACTCCCAAGCTTAAAACATCTCGATTTAAGCAAAAATCTCCTCAACGGCGAGATTCTTGCTAACTTCGGCAACCTCAATATTTTGAGTCGTGATTTACTGAGTTGAAACCAACTCACCGAAAAAATCCCAACTTCCATCGGCAACGTGTACTAATTACCTGACCTTGATTTATCAATAAACAAGATACGAGTCAAATACCCACTCAGCTAGGTAAAATGAAGGTGACTGACATGTTTTCCAACGGATTATCGACGCGGTGTTTGGGAACCCTGGTGTGGATATCTTGATCGTAAGCCAAAACTCCCTCGAAGGGGAAGAAGAATCAGTTTACATAAAAAGGTCAATGGCTTCCATCAATTCTCCACCATTAATTAGTGATCAGATATGTGATCAGTAAGCATTTAACAGTCCAACTCAGCTTTTTTTTCATTGAATTTAACGGCAGTTAATGTTGAGTTATCATTTTGTTACAAATAGATAATGTTAGTGACCAATTTATAACTTTTGAAAGTTTAGTGGGAAAATAAAAAGTTTCTTAACCTTCAAGACCATTCGCGTAGTTTACTCTAATAAATATTGGAGAAAAATTAAACCCCTAATAACAAGTATTAAAAATAATTGGATCCTATAACTAATAAAAAACTATATTTTTACAAATATAATACACTATAAAAATTATGGTCCTTGGGCAGGTACCCCTCTTGCCCATGCCCAAATATGACCCAGATAAATCAAGTTTTTTCCCCCACAAACTTTACATATTAATCTACAACCATGTATATAAATTTTATGCACTTACTTCCCTCTTTGTTTTCATCAAAATTTAAATTTTATTTTCTGTAAATTTTTAATATGATTATGAATATTTCATGTTTAAAAAACTAGTAAAATTTAAGTACATTGATATTATTATACCTCTGGTTGTCCCTTTCTCAAATCACCAACTCTTCACCCTTAAATCTTCGGATTGACTCCTTCCCCTATTAGAGCTTCTAGGAAACTATATCCTCTAGGCTAAGGAGCATCATAGCCTCTAGGCTAAGGAGCATAAGATAAGACTTCTGACAGGTCCACATGACTTAATAGAACGAAATTTAAGATCTGATGATCATAAATATTTAACTCCTTAACATATAAGTAGTCATAATTACCCTACACCTAACATCGTCAACTAAGTTCACTATAAATTCCTCTTAGTCCAATTGAAAAAGGGGATCCTTTTACTTTTTCCATCTTCTTCTTCACTCCCATATCATATATCCTATTTTATTTCTTTATCTCCCCCAGAAAAAAAATCAATCGATAGTCTTTTTTTACCAATTATGACTTTCAATTCAATTCAGAATGAATGAATTGTCAACTATCAGCGATATTAATACTCTTTGATACATTAAATTAAACCATATTTATAATGTTACGTAGATAACAAGTTGAAACATAAAAATAAATAAACTTTAATTCAATTTATATAATCATCATTAAATGATAATAGAGTATATATTTGAATTCCAATATTAAAAATATTTAGGGTAAGGTATATAAATGGTCCCTGGGTATATTGTGTAACACCCTAGACCAGTATAACACACAGTCGACCGATTTAAGTTGCTACACATAATCACAAAAGTGGCTGACCAACACCTTATTCTTTCTTGTACTATAAAACGACCATTTCCACAATAAAAACATCCATAAAATAAATATATAATTTAAATCTTTATATTGGGGAGCTCCCAAAAATAAATATTTACAATCAAAACATTACAGACCGACTCTTAATAAAATTTATGACTCAATTGATACAACATGGTTTATAAAATATACATGCCCTTCAAAAACTACGGAGACGTACTTTGAATTTGCACTGAGTCTGGACCTTGATCCATTTACTACTACTCGAACTCTCAATCAACTGACCTACCCACGGAAAACAATATGAATGTTCAGTGTCACACTAACAACTAAAACATACTAAAAGTTTATAACTGGAATGCTCAAGCTAACAAGTTTGTTGTTATCTGGTATATTATTGTCTGATCTACTGATATGTTCTGTTCTGGTTTGCTTTAGTGAGTATACTCGTATACTCAACCTCTACTCTATGGTAGACATCTTGGTATGGCTAAGGGTTCTGCATCTCGGAGCTCACATACCCCTCTAGTCTACCGAGAATGTGGCCCCCGGAATCTATGCATCGGACACTACACTCTCGACTAGCCCACTCCTTGAGTGTCGGACCTTGCACCTAAACCAGTTAGAGACAAAGCAATGTACATATGTATTGTAATTCTCATGACTCAATAGGTGACAAGCTGTGGAGAAACTATTATTTCTATTTAAATCTGAAAAAGGTAGAATCTGCATTTTTTTCAATAAAAAATAAATAAATAATTCAACATTTATATCATGAGAATTAATACTTTTATAATGTAAGGTTTCAATTCGTAAGTTGCAAAGCTAGTGATCTTAAACTCTTAAAGAAAATTAAAATTAAAATATAATTTTTATATTTTTTTTAATAAATTCTAAATCTAATCCTATTCCTACTTAGAGGGAGAGGGAGAGGAGATATATATTAAAATATATGTTTTAAATAAGTGTGGTTTTTAACTATTTATTAAATATTATTAAAACTACAGAAAAACACAAATATCATTATAATAATATTAACTATAATTTAAAACAATAATCATTTAATAATTTTTAATTGAATATTAATATAAATGATTGTATTTGTTACAGGGCTAGAGTTTTGACTAGCTGATTCGTGCAAGTCTTAGACACTTTCTCAATTGAATGGATGCCTAAGTAAACCTTCATTGTATCCTTGTGGAAAATTTAGCTCATGAACCGAAGAACAAACTATTTAGGATTGGATAATATGCGAAAGCGTAAACACTGTCGGGGCTATTTAAGCCATCAAGAGAGGCAACAAGGCACAAAGAGACTAAGAAACTAGAAACAAAGTGCCAAGAGAGAAATAAAATGACTCCTTTTTCGGTTTTAGTTGTAATTCTAAAAATGGTTTCATGAAAATGACTAATTTTTCAATTTTGGTTGTCGCGGCCATCTCTCGGGTCAGTCCAAAATTGGGCTTCGACTTGAAATAATGGGTTATAGTCGCCATCGATCATTTTAAAAATATTTAGGTGGATCGGACACCCTCTTACCTAATCTGTGATTTACCATAAATGTGTCGGATTCGGGAGTCGGTTACAGTCAAGGAAGAATCAGCACATTTGTACTACCCTTTCGATACCAATTAATTTGTCGGTTGTTTTCATTGCGAAAATTAAAATTAAAATTAAAATTCAAAAATTCAATTCGAATTAATATCCTCTGATTAATTGAAAGTGTCCCCTAAAAAGTCAAAAATATTGTTAGATTGTAAAAAAAATGAAAAAAAGGAAAAATACTAATATAATAATAATAAATAATTAAATAAAATAGACGAATAAAGACAAATGAAATTGAGATTAAAAAATAAAAATAAAATACGATATAATATAAAAAGAAAAAACATAACAAAAATTTAGGAAATACCAAAAAGGTTCAATTTTGAAATAAAAAAATGTAAAAGGATCACACAGTAATTATAAAATAAACTAAAGCCAAAATCACAAAATGTTAAATAATACATGCACCATAAATGTAAATAACCCCTAAATCATATACTGACTAAAATAAAATAAACAAAAAACATAGAGGACTAAACAATAATTAACCCTAAGTGCCAAATAGTGACTAAAATATAAACATAATAAAATTGTAAATCCAAATTAAAATACAGAAAATTAACTTTAGTGACTAAAATATAATGTTACAAAACCAGAGGACTTTGGAAAGGGTTTACCCACTCTTGCAATTACATAGAAATCCCTCCCCAAAACGATGTAGTTTTGGGAGGGATATAAATACCCAAAACCAGCCATTAAGGTCTT